CAGGGTGGCAATAAGAAAATAAGAGTCCCCACAGAATATTGTAAACCGGCGAATATCAGTGATCAAGTGATGAGAAAACCGGCTGTAGGAAAAGAGAAGGAAAAGCAAGAGAATGAAGATTCGAACAACGACGTAGAAGACGACAATAAAAGCGAAGAAACAAGTTCTGAAGATGAAGATGAATACGAGGAAGAAGACCTTGTAGCTCAAACTTACTTCTTCTGTGAATTCCAGTTTATAGAAGAGGAGATTGAAGTCACATGTGAATGGTGCTTAAAGTGTGGACATAATCGAGATGAATGTATTTTGCGGAAAAGGCCTGACAAAGAAACGGTATGCCTTGTTTAAGAAGAAAAAAATAAAGAAGGCTTTAATTTTGGAAGTATGACAGAAACTCAAGAAGAACAAATAAAGGAGGTACTAAATAAGTACCAAGATATTTTCGCCTGAGAACCCGGAGAGTTAGGACAAACAAACAAAATAAGCTGCTGGCAATTTTTTTTACAAATGAAACCAGTTCATGCCCTTTTACTATTTCAGTTAACAAGCGCAAAGATGGCTATATTCATATTAAGGCTGATTCCTCATGATCCAACTTGTTTAGCTTGTTTAACTTCTATGGAATATTCAAAGCGCGTGGATCATATCTTGTAAAGTTTATTGCGCTATTAGTTAAAGATATAGAAGGACTTCTACTTCGTGATATTATAAATCGTGTTCGTGGGCTGAGACACCATACATTGCAGCTTGGAGAAGTAAAGCTATTAGGCCACACATAGTTAATTTTTCATTTTGCATTGCGAGATTTCAAAAATCTGTCAGTCGGTTGGCTTTTGTTTTTTAATTCTGAATAATGGGCTAGAACTCTAAAACATCTATCTAATCATGAAATGAAGCAATTAATCATGATACTACTACATTTAAATCTGCTAGTAACTTTGACGGTATAATTGGGCCCTTATTTGTAATAATTTTTAAATATTGGACCTTCATCTGTAATTATTTTCATTTTAGGCCCTTATTTGTAATTATTCTCGTTTTCGGGCCCTTATCTGTAATTATTCTCATTTTCGGGCCCTTATCTGTAATTTCACCAAAATTTTTTGTGGAAGAGCTACCAACTATTAAATCACCATATGGACCACCCGGGTATGTTACATTCTATATTACACCCAGAGGTATAGTAACAGAAAGATTTCCGTTTGTTATGGATAAGTTGCGTATAAATTACCAGAAATAAACCGGGTCTCTTACATTCCACTAACCTTAACTTTCCTATAAACTCCAAGTAGTTATAATTTTATGGCAGAAGTGCTAAACTATGGCATTACGGTATATGGATAGTTGATTATAGATAGTGTCTAACTGCCAAATTTTCAATAGTGCTAGGGACTACAATCATCCTCAAAGGAATTATAATATAACAGCAGGGTTGTGAAATCACGGTAATTCATAATTTTGGTGGCATGTAACAAAAATAGTAAGTTACCAGTAAGCGACCTGTAAAAAACTTGTATTTTATTCTGTTAATTGTCTACAATTATGAAATTTTCTAATAATAATGCCAATCATGTAATTTAGCACAAATTTCATGATAGCTTACCAGTAGTTTGTCAAACTTACCTTGGTAAGTTACCCCTAACAACCTGAATAATGGTTTTGGAATGCTGATATTGTGGCATACAGCATTGCCACAATGCTGCTTTACAGCATTGTAACAATGCAGTATTACAGCTCTACGTAATGGCCACAATTTACAGACAAGTATTTTGGTAATTTAATACTAATTCATGATAGCTTACCAGTAATTTACCAAGCCTACCATGGCAAGTTACCGTTAACAATTGGAATACCAAGATTGTGGTATTGCGGTATTGCAGCATTGCCATAACCATGGATTATGGCATTATAGCAATGCTGTATTACGGTTCTCTGTATTTACGGAAATAGTATAGCACGTATTATAAGGGCGGTTATGTTTCAAGTCAATTCCACGACAATCGTAGGAAGAATAATGATCCATGAAAATAAAAAACTTGTAATAGGCTGAAGTGTGTAAATGTAAAGTTAAGGCAGTAATTTGTAGTAAGGAAATAAAATGCTTTTGTCGCATAGCCCAAAATCAATTATAAAAGAAATAATTTAACGTTGATATAAAATTAGATTAGATGACCTAAAGTATATAAAGAAACAGTTTAAAATTTATAAAATAATCATCAGAACGTGTAAAATCTTAAAGTTTTCTTGAATAGAATTTTTTTATCATGCTTCCAAGTCCCATACCTAAAAAAATGCGCAGCCAATTAAACAATGCTCAATGTAAAGAAATTTGTGAATATTCTAATAAAAACCCATCAGCAAAACACCAAGATATTGCTGATGAATTTATGTGAAGATACCCTCACTTAAATCTTGATCGTTCAACCGTTTCTAAAATTTTTAAAAAAAAAGAGCAATATTTGAATCTTGAAGAAAATATTACAACACAAAACTGTTATAAAAACAGGAGACCAAAATATCCTTCGCTTGAAAAAGCAATGAATATTTGGGTTCGTCTCTTTTTTTTTTTTTTTTTTTTTTTGGCTCTATAATGAAATACTATGAGGGTGACATTATCGCATTTTATAGGTTAGTCAAGTTTCAGCTGCCAGTTTGGTCCTTATGGATGAATTGGTAAAATTGAAGGGTCATGAGTTTGGTAGGCTCTTTGGCATTTCTGAAGACGAATTAAAGTTCTCAAATGGATGGATAACCAATTATAAGAAATGAAATTCCTTACGTCGATACAAACTTCATGGTGAAGCCGCAAGCACACCTTTGGAATTCACACCAAATAAAAGAATAAAACTCCAGAGACTTATTTCTCAATATGACTTGGAAGATGTATACAATGCTGATGAAACTGGATTGTTTTATCGTATGTTACCAAATCAAACACTAGCTAAACAACCTGTTCCTGGGTCAAAACAATTAAAATAAATTTTATTATTGTCGTCGGAGCTAAAATCAGATGATATTGAAATTTTGACTTAATATAAAAGTTTAAATTTTTGAGACGTTTTTTTCGGCTTTTTTTCTTTTAAAGTTGGATTAGGTACAGGATTAATGTTTATAATAAAAGTATGTGGGCAGATTTTAGTAGGATATATATAATAAAAATACTTTAATCTATTGGGTATTAGTGGAAACGAAGTTTCTGCTTGTATATGTTGTAAGTGGAAGCGGAATTAAGTGGACACAGAATTTTTATATATACCCAGCATTTTGGGTTGATTTTATCATATATACACCCTTAACCTAACCTTAATTTAACTTGGAAATTCCAAATCCACTTAATTACATTCCCACCTACAACATATGTATATGATAAAATCTATCCCCAAAATACTGAGTTTATATAAAAATTCCGTTTTCACTTAATTCTGCCTCCACTTACAACATACATATACGTTCAGGGTATTTTGCTAAGTACCCTGTGATCTTGATATAGTAATCGGGGTATATGTTTTTAAATTGAGATCCTAAATTTCATCATCATCTGACTGTAATTAAATCTCAAAATTTAAAATTCTGAAATTACAAACTTAAAATTTTAAAATTTTAAAATTTGAAATTCTCTAAATTTTTTTGCTTAATTATAATAATACAGGATAAATCACGCGTTACGGTACTACTTGCTGCTAATGCAGCAGTACACACAAACTTCGCCCATTAGTCATTGGCCATTCGAAAAAACCACGAAGTTTCAATGGTATATAGTTATCACAACTTCCGTTTACTTATAAAAATAATAAAAAGGCATGGATGACGTCAGAAATTTGAGAAAAATGGTTACGCTTCGTCAATTCTGGGTTTCACATCCAAAATAGAAAAATCCTTCTTCTTGTAGATAATGCACCATCCCATAGTTCACCTGAAGTGCCTAATGACACAGATAAAACACCTAGTATCGATAATGCAGATCAATTTGGTTCTGAAAATGATGCTGAAAATAATGCCGAAGGTGATCAATTAGGTTCTGAAAATAATGCTGAAAATGATGCTGAAAATGATGCTGAAAATGATGCTGAAAATAATGCTAAAAATGATGCTGAAAATAATGAAGATAATGCAGATCAATTTGGTTCTAAAAATGATGCTAATAATAATGAAAATAATGGACAACCAAGAAAGAGAGGAAGAAAAGCAGTTGGAAGGCCACGGGGAAGGCCACGGGGAAGCACACTGGGAAGTCCACGGGGAAGCACACTGGGAAGACCACGGGGAAGCACACGGGGAAGGCCACGGGGAAGTATACGGGGAAGGCCATGGGGAGGACTACGGGGAAGACCGCGAGTTACTAGCATTACTTCACGTCAAAGAAAAATAAGAGAACCTTTAGAGATGTTAAAACTTACAAATATTAATCTTTATTACCTTCTACCATACACAACTGCGCATCTTCAGCCAATGGACACTGGTATAATCAAATCATTCAAATCAAAATACAAGCGTCTATATTGTGAGCATGTTCTTAGACAATATGAATCCAATGCTAACATAGAAAAGTTCGTATGATTATTGTCACAGCCGAAGTTGAGATTTGAAATCTTTTTTCTTGAAAGCCTACTAAACCTACATATACTCTTCAATTAAAAAACCTAATTCTAAATTCTAAAAAAAAAAAAAAATTAAAAAAAAAATTTTAAAATAAGACCAACTCTCAGCTTTAGCTGTAATAATTGCCATATTTATCTGATATGTGTATCTCGTGAACTGAGTTCTACAGATTTTAGAACGATTTATACCCGAGTACTTAAGTATGATAATATCATACTTAAGTACTCAAGTATATAACCATAAAACATAATAACTAAATTCTGCTTTTTTCTTACAGAAAAAAGCTAACTGTAAAAACGGCAATTGATTTTATTGTGGAATCATGGGATAAGGTAAGCAATACAACTATTCAGAACTGTTGAGGCAAGACTAGAATTCTTTTAAACACAAGTGAGTCAGAAATGGATATCGTAGATCAGCATATCGAAAGTGATGTCCTGTTAGATAATATCGAAGTTGAGACTATAATTTCTAATTTACCGGATGAGAGTTTATATTCAGCTGAGACTGTCCAGGCAATGTTAGTGTATATACAAGCCACTGATGAACCTATTGCTATAGAAGAAATACTTGATGATGAGGGAATAATTTCTATAGTTCAAGCTGAGGAAATTGATGATAAGCCAACCAGGCAAAAAATTGAGGAAGAGGGTGAAGACGAAGTACCTGAACCACTGGTAATAGTTGCTGAAGTATGTAGTGCAATGCAAACCATTGTTCGCTATGAAGAGTAGGAAAATTCAGAATCAAATCTGTCGTTAGATGAATTAGGATTTTTAAGAAAATTACTCAAAGAGTATAAACATGTATTCGAAAAATTAAAAAAGCAATCAAAGATCATTAGTTTCTTTACTTTCCCAGATTTGTACTTCAATAACTCACATCTCCAAGACTCCTATCCCTATGATTTGTATTCTCAAGATTTGTATCCTCATGATTTATATTCTCAAGACTTGTATCCTCAAGGTTCATATTCCTATAACTCAAATTCCCCAGACTTATCTTTACGAGACTCACAGTCGCAAGATTCGTATTTGCAAGATCTATATCCACAAAATTCGTATTCCCCAAATTCATCTTTCTTTTATTCTCAAGATTAATATTTTTAATTTCAACACTACTTACTGAGATCTTTTTTTTTTTTTTTAAAAAAAAAAAAAAGTACAAATAAAAAAAAAGTTAGTTAAATGCCTATACAATGTCTCTTGGCTTGACAGCTCTATAAAAAAGCTTTGGCAGTATTATTTGAATTTGAAAAGGATCTGTGATAGTTACCAGGATTTGTCATTATATAGTTTAACGTACGTACGTGCATAGAAGTTTAACTGTATCTTTCATATATAGCATGAATTAGATTATCAGATATTTGATGCATGTACGTCATACAAGTACACAAAGTAAAAAATTCAAAATTATGTGCGCATTGCGCACATAATTTGTGTTATAAGTTTTTTGCACTTTGCGCACAATTTTATCACTGGTAGTATATATGTGCGGTGCAAGAAACTTAATATATGCGCATTGCGCACATAATTTTAAATTTATTGTTCATATGTACATGCACTTTGCGCACAATTTTATCACTGGTAGTACGTACATACGTGCAGTACAAGAAACTTAATATGTTTACTGGTAGTACATATGAATAACAACCAAAAAATCTCCAATTTTTCACACAGTTTTCAATCTTCCTCTCTTAAGTCTTTTAGAATCAAGATCCTTCTGGATGAACTTCCTACTCCACACAACCTATATAAACGTAATCATGCACACACTTCTACTTGCCACCAATGTCATCA